GCATTACACATTATGATGTAAATCACGTTGGTAGAGTCACATGTGAGTTGAGGGGGGTGAATTTTGTGGTTAGTGACTGGGAGTGTGATTGTGCTGTTAGTTATAATATGTGTGCATATTTGACAGCGGGGCTTATTACATTTCATATTGCCATATGAAGGAGGTTTAGTAGTGATGGGTGAGAAAGTGAGAAGGGATTTCAAATTAGGTGGCTGGAGGTGGGCAAGAATAGGTGGTGTATTAAGTAAGTGTTGTATGGATTTGTCGAGTTGGAGGTGCGAGAAGTCGTCTTTGATAGTTTTGGTGACAGTCTTGTTGGAAGGATGGAATTCGAATATGAGGGGGATATATATATATATATATATATATATGTTTATTTGTGTGTGTATATGTATGTACAACTACAAAAATGGGTAGACTAAGGGAAGAAATACAGATCTCTAAAGGTTATTATTCTGGTTAAAAACGTGTGTCAAGATTTTGTTTATGTCTTCAAGAAACAATGTAGTTGATGAAATAATTTAATTTTTTTTTTTCAGAGGTTAGAGTCAGAATCAAGACACGAGCAGAAAGTAGAGGAATGTGAGCAGCATAAAAACCAAGTACAGAATTTACTGAAAGAAAAATCAACATTAGAAAAGAAGAATTGCAAATTACAGAAGGAACTCAGTGAGGAAAAAGAGGTAAAATTGATGAATTCTGGTACTGTATAATAGCCAAACAGAACCACCATCAAGTGACATCCTGGTTTTTTTTTTAATGAAATTAGATAATTTACTGCCTGAATCTAGAGCAGTCAATACATATATATATTCCACAAGGCCTAAAAAGTAATGAAAAGAGTACCCATCAAATAGTCTTAGGCCCACTTCAAACGTGCCAATCTCTGTTGTCGTGGAGGTTACAGTCCTCTTTACCATCCGTGCACGTCAAATTACACAGCAACGTTATATGCGAGGCCTAGAGATACATCACGATGGGGAAAAAGTATTATCATTTAATGTGATAGTATTTTTTCCCTGGGAATTTATGAACGATCATCCGACCTACGTCATAGGAGTGATAGTTACTCGCATTTTAAACAATCAGATGCCTTGAATCTATGTATGCAGTATACAATGTGAAATCAAATCGATTATAGATGGTAAACAGCATGGTAAAATTATGTATTGTAATATAAAGTATAATACTGTATTTTCCCATGGAAACACTCAGTATATTATTTTATGATGCCTTATTTTTATTTTAAATTACTTAATATCTTATCATAGTTCATCAGTGTGTTTTGGGTTTATTTATTGCAGATGAACAATGGTTTACGTTCAAATCAGAAAAGTTTGAAAGATAAAGTGTCAACTCTTGAATCATCAAGGGAAGCTGAGAGTGAAAAGCACAAGAAAGTAAGTATTGTGCGTATCTTGTGTACTCTAGTTGGGCAGGGGGTCCCAAGATGGAAGCCATCCCAATTTCTGGGAGATCTGTTGAAATGAGCTTTCTTCCACATCCCCTAGCCTATGGAGTGCCCCAAGGTTCAGTTATTGGCCCATGTTTATTCAGTCTCTACATTTGTCCATTCAGAGATATTATCAGGCATTATGTCATTCAATTCCAGTTTTTTCTTCAACTCTGTGTAACTTTTGACCCCAGCAATCGTAGCAGCACTGTCTCCAATTTGCAGACCTTATCCCTCTGTGTTGCTGATATTTAGCAGTGGTTGTTAGGCAACAAACTGAAGCTGAATGAAAAGAAGACTGAGTTTTTGGTTTGTGTTTCTAAGAGTCATCTTTCCTTAGATCACGCTAAAGGGGACACCATTATTCATCCTTCCTGAAGTGTCCACACTCTTGAAGTGACTATTGACTTCTTAGCCTACAAGTGTCAAATGCTAGTAGGCATATAAGAAACTTATGGAGAATCGGGAAGTTCATACCTGTCATGCTGCTGAGAGGGCACTGGTGCTTTCAAGACTGGACTACTGCAATTCACTGTACAGTGGCCTGTTAAAAAGAGATTTACACCCTACAGAATCTTCAAAATTCTGCTGCTAGACTAATTTTTCTTTTAAGTCAAGTACTCATACATCTCCCCTTATTCATGATCTTCATTGGTGGCCTGTACAGGAAAGAATTAAATTTAAACTTTCCCTCTTTGTTTTCAAATCACTTTCTGGCATCTACCCTTTGTATACTTCCAATTAGTTACATATGTTATATGTACCATGTGCGCTTAACAAGATCTTCCAACACCATCCAACTTGTTGGACCGGTCTACCATCGTATTGGTGACAATTCATTCCCTTTAATTGCTGCCTGTCTTTGGAATGGTCTGCCTAATTCTCTCAGATCATGTGATTCGCTTTAGGCAGTTCAAAGCCCATCTAAAAACGTTTTGTTTGTTTTCTTATTTTTCTACTGCTTTATTGCATTAGTTAAGTTAGCACACTTTGCTTGGGTTTGGTTCTATGCAAGCTTTACTTGGGGGGGGGATGTTTTTGACTTATTGTGGAGAGTAGCTTAAGTGCTTCGTAACTAAAAAGAAAGGTGCTATACAAGTAAAAAGTAACAGATCTATATTTATTTTGCTGCCGTGTTGATACCCATTGGCACTGACCTCCAGTAGACAATTGATAATACATAGTAAAAAACATGCTAATATTTTGTGAAAGGAAATTCTCAGCTATAACATACTCACAGGTGGGAGACGATCGATCAAGAGTAAGCGAGATACGTTCAAATAAGTATAAAAATAATGACGTCATAAATAAAAATTCATTTTTTTAAATAAATATTTATGCAAGAAGGCAAACAGAAAAATTACTGTATGTTCACATATGTTTTTTGTATTTTTGACTAATTGAAAATGTAAGACAGTATAGTAAATGTAATTATGACATCAAAAATAATTTTTTTTAACTTCAAACATATCAAAATCACCTAATTATAATTTGGTCATTTTGACAACCTTATAATTCAGTTTTTTTGATCCGCACTGTCTTATTTTCATCCTATCAAAATATTGAGGTGTTCAAGGTGATGCAATTATATTTTTTTGAACATCCCCATTTACTTCCCACCTCTTTTTGTGACTTGGTAAATTAGGATATTAAGTGTCACATACAGTAAATAGGTTTAATCCATATGTTCATTATCCAGACCTTTGCTGCACAGTTCACCATGGCAAGAGTCAATGTGAGATATTGAAATAAAATTTGAAATAAAATATGAAATACAGTTTGCCCTCCAATTTGAGACCACCCTTGGGACCTAAAAATTTGGGGTGGTCTCTGGGTTGTTCTTCAATTAAAGGGCTAGCTTTTCTGTTAAAAGGTTGAAGATTGTTATTTGGGTCTTCGGAAAAGTGGATTTGAATTAGAGAAATTAGAGGGGTCTTGAATTAGAGGGTGCACTTGAAAAATAATTTACAGGTCCTGGTGGTCTCACCCTATCTTTCGGAAATTCCACCTGCATTAACCAAATACCAAACTACGTGCCTAGATATCAAAATGCAAAGTGCTTTTTTGCTTGTTTTTTGGATACAGTATCAATCATACACAATGTACGATCCTCCACCACTTCCTGTGGACTATTCCTGTTTATGCAAGTACAGCACTTCCAATTTAATTCATTCTCCCATTTATATTTCTGGGTGAAGAGACAAGTGTTTTTCCACAAAAAGTAGGTACAGGGGAAAGCCCCAAATATGTATCATAGGACAGAGTGTTGGCAGGTTACATGAAAAATTTTCTGGCAGGAAGGCTGAATTCACTAGTTGAGGAGGATCTTAAATTTACAGGGGGTGAAATCCTTGTAAACTTGCAATAAACACATCATTGCATTTTCAGCCACATGTTTTTGCTATTTGGAAACATAAGCTTGAAATATATCTAATCTTTTTTTCAGTACATGCATTCCATAAATCATCAATCAGTCTCAGAAAGCCAATTATGAGGAGAGAATATCAAGAATAGAACAAGAAGCATTATCCCAGGTAATGTTGAGTGAATTATTTGATGACATGAAGAATTGGCTTGCAGGTAGTGGGAGTGGAAATGTAGCTTGGTGGCTGTATTGCTTGCCTTCCAATCTCCTGGGTTCAAATCCTATCGAATGCACAGCAAGGGATTGAAACCCCAACCTTGAGGTTGGGAAACTGCTGTGCCAAAACGCTTCCACTTTCGTGAATTAAATTTTGGTTTTCTATTGAGTATAGAAGTAAATACTACTAGACTAAATGTTAGTCTAGTAGACCCATAAAATAAAAACACTACAAGTAGTTTATGGTGGAATTGTTTATTACACAAGCTTGTGGGTGTGTGTGTGTGTATGTATG